CCTTTAAGAGGCTTCCTAATACCCAGCAGATACAGCTTAGTGGTTGAGCAGGTTCGATTTCCAGTCAGAACATTTCTACCTGCATAAGATTATATTGGTAGTTTGCAATTCACATGAAGGGAATATTTATATCACACTAGAGGATCAGTGCATGAATTCATGCATGGGTGGACTCCCTCTGCCTGGCTGCCAATTGGGGCTGATTGGGGTGGTGGAAGGTTGTCCTACGGGTGGGGAGGGAGTAAGGGTTGCAGGAGATTGGCTGTGGGAGCACCCTGATCACCAGGGGAAGCTCCTGTTTTGAGTGTCTTCCCCCTGGTGGTAGGTGCAAGTCATAGTGACCAGTCGACCGGTTGGTTGCTTAGGATTTTATAGAGAGATAAATGAGAAAATGCTAAAAATCTGTTTCTCCAGCAGGAAGAGCCAGTTGTTAAATATCTAACAGCACATCACTGAGCATGTGATAACTCTTATGTATCCTTCACTCTGTAGTGGGTTACCTTGCTATGTAATATGCTAGATAGGATTCTGTATTGTAGGTAAATATTCGAGCCTTACAACGTTGGGTGAAGCTTTGTGGGCAGCAAAAACGAACAGTACCCAAAATAGGTGTTCCTGGCCCTTACTTGATGGAAAAGGCCCAATAAAATCAAAATCAACTTGCCACTAAGTGAATTGTGACATGTTGGACACCTGCTGTTGCAGTTTTATGTATTAGGAGAGGCAGCATTCTTTAATTTGTGTTTAGACTATTTATTTGCATGTCAAAGCCAAAAATGCAGATCTTATGGGAGTATTTCAGATACAGCACCTCTGATATGGTGTCTATAAAAATTATGGTTGTCTTCTTTTCCCCTTTTTTTTTCTTTCTTCATTCATCTCAACCACTTAGATGAACAAATGTAATGGTAATAACAAAGTCAATTGAGATTATAACTTATTTAGTTATAGATTATAATTTTTTTGATAAAATAAAGTCTAAATTGTGCCTTGGTAGATTTCTAGTATTTCATAAACCACCAGAGTACTAGTGTCATTCATTTATCCTCAAAACTACTAAGGAAATAATAGGTAAAAATGAAAAGCAATAAATTTCCAAATATATAACAATAAATCTAAAGTTACAGTTCTAAATCTATTTTATACATAAATTCTAAAGATAAATTTAGAATTAAATTCAATGACCTAACTATCTGGGCCAAGTTTTAAGTTAATTTAGGAGTCAGGGTATTATATTCCTATATATACATTTACATGAAAATAAAGCTGATTAAGTAATGTATTCTGGAAATAACGTCAGATCAAATTACATTATTTTCTTTTAAAACTAAGGAATTAATTTAATTTATTAGTTCCACATAAAGATTAGCTGCTCAGTGAAGCAAAACTATAATAAAAAATAGATGGTAAAGTACAAAATAGATTTAATTGATAGCAGCTTTGGGAGAAAGCATATATAAAATAAATTAGGTTTAAAGTACATAAGAGTCACTGTTTCTATTTCATGGTGAAATATTTCATGATATAAATTATATCAAGACATTTAATTTTGGTACTTATATGTTATTAAATAAAATAACTACTGTCATCAGTAATGGGAGACTTATAAGCAAATGCATAAGTAAATGAACTATATGTGAGTGAAAATTGTACCTGTTTATTCTTTTGCTACTCATTTATTTAATGTCACCAGTGAGAATAACGTTTTACCCAAATTTATTTAAATTTTTAATTTTTTAAAATAAGTTTTTGGTTAGTAGCTATTTCTCATTTATCTATATTATTATTTTATTTTTTCAACTAGAGGCCAGATATGCACAAATTTCATGCAAAAATAGGCCTTCTTTCCCCTGGTTGCCTGCACTGGCTTATCCTCTGACACCTCAGACCTGGATTTCCCTCCAGCTGGCAGGCTCCCAGGACACAGGCAACCCCAGCTTCATCCGGAAGGTTGTCTGGAAGGATATCCAGTCTAATTATCATATTACACTTTCATTATTGTAGATATGTCTGAGCTTTAAATACACTAGATATATTGATCATGTTATAGTTTTAATAGCATTTTCTATTGTAGTTTGCCTTTTAGTTGTTTTTTTTTATTTAAATTCTTTATTGTTTAAAGTATTTCATATGTCTCTTTTTTCCCCCTTGACCTCTCCCTGGCTGTTCCCAATCCCTTGCACATCTCCACTATAGGATTTGCTTATATGCATGCATACAAGTTCTTTGGCTGATCTCTAGCCACCACCCACCCTTCCACCCCTGTTTCCCTTCGTAGGTTAGTTAGTCTGTTCAATGCTTCTGTGTCTATGAATCTATATTTGTTTACTAGTTTATGTTGTTCATTAAATTCCATAAATGAGTGAGATCATGTGATATTTATCTTTCTCTGACTGGCTTATTTTGCTTAGCATAATGTTCTCTAGGTCTATCCATGCTGTTGCAAAAGGTAGGATTTCCTTCCTTTTCACAGCAGCATAATATTCCATTGTGTAGTTTTTTTTTTGTTGTTGTTTTTGTTTTTTTTTAATCCACTCATCTGTGGATGGGCACTTAGGCTGTTTCCAAATCTTAGCTATGGTAAATTGTGCTGCTATCATCATAGGGGTGCATATATCCTTTCTGACAGGTGCTTCTGATTTCTGACATATTCCTAGAAGTGGGATCAATACTCATGGACTGTCAGGAGACACCAGCAAACATGGGCAGGCAGGTCATGGGCAATCCTCAGTCAGGATCATGGCTTTCAAGTCCTTTCCAAAAGTTCAAGTCCATCCCCTCTTCTTTCCCACACAATCCAGCATTCTTTAGACCTCAGTTCAAATACCACCTCCTTTGATCTGTCTCCTATCAGGGCTCTGACCCAGATATGGGCCTTGGCACCTCAGATCTTGGCTCTGGGCCTCCAAAGGCCTGAACTGTGGGCACTTTCAGCAGCAATCCGGGGGCTTAGCACCATGGAGGCACTCCTTCATGGGATTGCCTTTTAGTTTTTTTATGTTGTTTTGGGCTGTTAACTAAGGTGGTAGGTAACTCTCAGGTACAGAGAGTCCCTGACTTATGGTTTGACTTAACAAGTTTTATGATGGTGTAAAAGCAATACCCACAATAAATTACAGAAGATATTCAACACTTCATTATAAAATGGGTTTTATGTTAGATAATTTTGCCCAATGGTAGGCTAATGTAAATGCTCTATGCAAGTTTAACCTAGACTAGGCTAAGTTATGGTGTTCTGTAAATTAGGTTTATTAAATGCAATTTTTACTTACTATATTTTCAATTTACAATGGGTTTTTTGGGATGTTGCCCCAATGTAAGTGGAGGAGCATTTTGTCGTTTGCTCATAATTATTTAATATTTATTTAAACAATTATTTCCAGAGTTCTGGACTTCCTGAACTTAACTATTGGTGTTTCTCAGAAGCCTCAATTTTATGCCTTTCTCAGAATGATATAAACTACACCTGACTTTAGACTGGGACCGGGTGCTGATGACCCTATAGATAGGTTATACTACCAGCCCGAATGTCTCCTGGGCCATATTTCTGCATATTGCCATACAAATGTTCCCCATGCACAAATAAACATGAAATAAAACAAGTACAGATTACACCTGTCAACATTCATTACCCCACTTATGTACCTGCCCAAAGTTAACAGCAGCAACCATCCATGTGATGGGTCTGAGCTTGTTTTATCGCAAATACTTTCATCTCCCCTCAATATCTTTCTCACAAAGTCCTTAAATCTGCTATTTAATCTTCTTTACATCTCATTGATCTTGTTCAAATGGCATTTCCTTTATCATAAAGAGATTGGCTTCTTCCTGAGCACTCAAATTATCTTTGTGAATGTTCTATCCTAATCATTATGTTTGTGCTTTTCCATTTGTCAGATCCGTCAAAAATCTTTATTTTTTTTAAAAAGTTAATTTTCGCCGAAACCGGTTTGGCTCAGTGGTAGAGCGTCAGTCTGTGGACTGAAAGGTTCAAGGGCATGTACGTTGGCTGCGGGCACATCCCCTGGTAGGGGATGTGCAGGAGGTGGCTAGTCGATGTTTCTCTCTCATTGACATTTCTGGCTCTCTATCTCCCTCCCTTCCTCTCTGTAAAAAATCAATAAAATATATTAAAATAAATAAATAAAAATTTTAAAAAAGTTAATTTTCAATGTTAAGGAAGTATTTGTAATAGGTTTTAAAGAAATATATTCATTTTTACTGGATTTTAGTATCACAAACTTTTGATTTTTAATAATTAAATAAGACCTATATTATTATATTCAGTAACATAAATACATATTTTCTGGAGTTAGACATTACAAATGTTTTTGATAAAGCAATCTTACAATTAGACTGATATTCATACTTGTGGTTTTCATTTAAAATCAGTGATATTTGTAATGCTTCTGCTACTAGACAATTATTCTAAATTCCTGACAGAAATCAGCAGATGATAATAAACAGCAAGACCTAGACATTACTAAATGATACATGAAATCGTTATACTAATCTAGCCTTTGACTTATCCATCATTTCCCATCCAAAACTCTTTTGAAGTAAAATTGCAGTTCCATTACTTTAAAAAATGTGGTTCTGCTCATACATTTTCATTAAAAATACATTAACTTTTCAGAGAAATCACAAAAAGATTTAATCTTTATTTGATTGTAGAATCAAGGATAAATAAAACATGAACTGTTTATTTTTGCCAATTAAATTTACAAATCGCCTTCATCAAGTTCTTAGGTAAAAATGATTACCATTTATTTTCCTTAGAAAATGTGAAGAAAGCCTATATTTTTATATTGTGAGAATAATGTATTTCTTTATTTTTGTTGTTTTATTTCACAGCAAAGGGAAGTAATTGGGGATTTTAGAGGTAGTGAGCCTGGTTGTTATTGCCAGAGTTAATCCTAAGAAAGGATGAGAGTTAAATAGGGGGAAATTTCCCTGCTAAGTCTGTGGTGTTGCCACTGTTTCTTCTTTGCTTTACGCAGGTGATTAAGGCCGTGGAAGAAGGCTACCGTCTGCCAAGCCCCATGGACTGTCCCGCTGCCCTCTACCAACTCATGCTGGACTGCTGGCAGAAAGACCGGAATAGCAGGCCCAAGTTTGATGAAATAGTGAACATGCTGGACAAGCTGATACGTAACCCAAGTAGCTTGAAGACACTGGTTAATGCATCAAGCAGGTACAGGCAAGACCAGAGAGATTGTCTGAATTTAGCTGATTCAGATTGATGCCACAAATTTTAAATCACTTATCGGCATACATTATCCTCTAAATCTGTATGATACTATTTTATTTGACTATCATTTTTGCATAAAGTTTCTCTCTTAGAATGAATGAAATATAAATGATTATACTTAAAAGCACTTATACCTAATCCAATAGTATAACATGTCCATATCAGAAAATGCCAACTGTAGCCAAGTTTAGGAATTATTTTTTTTAAAAAAACCAGAACACTTAAATGCATGTATTATATTTCCATGTGTGGATGGGAAAAATGTAAAATTATGAGACCATAAGGAAAAACCAAATAAGCACTGATCTATTTTATACTAAAGATATCTACCAATAATTACTTCTCATGTTTTTAGAATTGGTTTTAGTGTCTGTATATTTTATGAATATTGACGATGCTTTTAGGGACCCTTTACTCGTATCTAATTGAACACAGACATGTGGCTAATAAAATATGAGAAATTTTGTGGAAAGATTTTATTTATATATTTTTTCTCATTGATTTTTTAAAGAGGAAAGAAAAGCTAAAAACATCAATGATGAGGGAGACTCATCAGTTGGCTGCCTCTTACTCGCCCCCGACTGGGAATCAAGCCCACAACCCAGGAATCGAACTGCTTGACCTCCTCACTCATAGGTTGATGCTCAAACACTGAGCAATACTGGCTGGGCTTGTGGAAAGATTTTATATGAGCAAATAAGTATATATATATATATATATATATATATATATATATATATATATATAACAATGTTGCAATGTTGCATTTTTATAAAGTATACATTATTCTTTAACCTGAAAAGTTATAGAATTATTCTCTCAAAAAATAAATCAGTTTGCTTCTTTACTATAAAATTTGCCAGATTGTTTGAAAATAACCGTGAAAATCTGTATTTAAGATAATTGTATATTTTTACAAGAAAAAAGTGTCATGCCAGGAACTGACTTGGCTGTGTATTAACATGAACTAAATGAGAAATAATTTCTTGATAAAGTCACACAAGTTTTATGATTCTGACATAACATTTGTTTACTAGGCAAAATTCATTTTTAAATGCAAATGAAGAATGAATCTTCAAACTATATTCAGGGATCATTAACTTTCTGTGGCAGCAACTGCAGAATGCATCTTCTTAGTAATCATTCCTTATGTTGTTCCTGAAATATCTGCTTTCAAATGTTTGTTGCCATATAAAATATTAAATATTTATCTCATCTACTTGTTTGAATTATGCTAAGCTGTCACAAATGGACATAAAGAAAGGAAATCAAAAGGGACATTTTTATGTTCTAAAATGTGTTAATTTATATCAGCATCATCATTACAGCTTGAAAGCAGTTTAAAAATCTGCAAAGAATTTTAGTAGTTTCCTGTGTGCAAGATGTAGAATCAGCTTGCTAGGTTTCATTTAAACAGATTTGGCTTAAGACTATACCACTTACTAGCCATCTACAAATCCCAGCTCCAGAAGGTGTTAGTTCCTTACTCATTCACTTTCTCCATATTTCTATCCCTATCACAAAACTTGGTGTTTTTAGTAATCATGTAGATGATGCTTGACTATCTCTCAATATTTTCAAATTTTCTCCTTTAGTGATTTTGGTCTCTAAAATACCTTGGAAACTTCTTGTCATAGTCACATTCCAAACTTTGCTATTAACAAAAATTGCACCTCTTCCACAATCTCAACTTCAAGATCCTACTCTCCAGCTGTTTCCACCTGCATTTCATCTTCAATGAGTCTTTGATTTTAATGCTCAATGGCTACAAATCACTACAAGATTCCCACTTACCCATGCAACAAATAACTACTGTTTCATGCTGTGAGCTAGCTGCTGAGTATACAGCATTGAGCAATACACAATTATGAAAGGGATATACTAAACAAAATAAAAACATTAAAAAACAACTTTGGTGTTAGAATGGAGAATGAGAATATAATTTGTGAGGATAACTGGGAGGCTAGAGTAGCTCTATAGGTAAGACATGATGATCTCTTGAACTAAGGTGGTGACAAATGAGATAGAAAGAAGAGGTCAGATGTGCATATAGGGAGGTAGATAGATTGGGATGAATTTAAGATAAGGAAGGAGTGAACTATTGTATCATATACTATATCAGAAATACTTCAGGAGGAAATGGATATAAAAAACGATGACCAGGGTTTTAGAAATATTCGAGTGATATTTTTATGAGAAATGTGGAAGCATGATGTAGGCATATAAATATATGAGGAACTTAGCCAGGAGTTAAAAATTGGCTAATAATAGATGCTATTTGAAACAAGAAATTGTCTAAGTATACTGGGGTTACAGCCTGAGCAGAAAATATAAAAGGCCAAGTCCTAGTTCCCAACAAATTTTAAAGTAAAAATAATAATAATAATAATAATAATAATAATAATGGATAATAGGCAAAAGAGAGTAAGAAGAAACCAGGAATGTTCAAGATCATAGTAGTCATGAAAAAGAAAATAGTGATTCAATAAATGTTTGAGAGGGAGATAGTAGTGGTGATGTTGGATGTTTCTGAGAGCTCAGTCTTCTTACAGGTTGGGAAATGTTCAGATGTTGGCAACATAGAGATCATTGCTCAGCTTAATCAGAGCAATTTTTATAGAATTGGTTTGTAAGAAACTTCACTGGGGTAGTTTGAAGTGTGAATGAGAAATGAGAAAGTGCAGAGAACATAAGTAGAAAGAAAGATATCCTATATCTTACGGTTGCAATTTAGTTAAGCAAATTCCCATTAATGGCCATTTAAATTGTTTTTGTTTACTCTCAGTAGAAGAAAAAAAAATTGTACATATACTCTTTGCCCTTTTCTTCAATTATTTCCTTAAGATACATGTCCAAAAATTATTATCATCATAATAGTCATGTTATTTTTAGCCAAAGAGTATGCATTTAGTATAATGAAAAACAGCTCATGATTTGATTGGTCCTATTTAGTTTTCTTATGTGTTTGGAGTTACATTTTGTTTTCCATGTTCCACTACTCCTAGGTGAATTAATAAGTGCCCCTACATGAGAGAATGAGATCAACAATAAGTTCCAGACTTTCTAGGAAATTAAGTGAGCACAAGTTTCTCTAGCAAGATCAACAAGTGTTTGGCTTTGCCCCAATTATCCTGAATATCTATATTTGGTAGCAGTTTTTATATTATTTTTATAAACAAAACAATAATAGAAAATAAATACATCTAAATCATTACATGACATTTTTAGCTAATGTTTTCCTTTGAGAAAGTTAACTTATTAAGTCGTTATAATTCCTCATATACTCTGGGTAGAAAAACATTTGAATAAACATCTGATGTTGTGTTCTATATTTCAAAATATTACTTTCTTCCAGTTTTGCATTTACATACTATCCCATTTCAATATACTTAAAGACCTAAAGATCCACTATGTGCTGACATTATAATATAATTTATTATAAAGATTAAAATATTACTTTTTATATTTTTGTTTTATGTGTTTTAGAGTATCTACTTTATTGGCAGAACATGGCTCCCTGGGATCTGGGGCCTACAGATCAGTAGGTGAATGGCTAGAAGCAATCAAAATGGGCCGGTACACAGAGATTTTCATGGAAAATGGATACAGTTCAATGGACGCTGTGGCTCAGGTGACCTTGGAGTGAGTAATTTTTCTGATCATTTTTACATAATTGCTGGGGCGAGAACATTTGTCCAGAAACCTATCTGGATGAGGTCAAGGCAAACCAATTAACTTTTGTCCATGTGTGGCAGATTTCAAAGAACCCTCTTCGTTTTGCCTGTATTGTTAACAATTGCATGGTCAATGCTAGTTTTGTCCAGTTTCTTTGCTTCTATGCTTCAAACAAATAGCATTGGGATATTTGAATACTTGGAAAAAAACAGCTTTTTGGCAAAATAATGGTCATTCATGTTGTGGAAAAGATGTTTTCTTGACAAAGTTTTTATACTGGTCCCTGTGTTATAGAAATGTAAATATGAAACCAATGTAAGCACAATTGGTATGACTAGTCCTACATCAGAAAAAAAAAATCCTTAAATTTCAGCTATGATGAACATCCAGGAAAAAGCAGCTTAAACACAGCTTCCCAGGCAGGGATCCCATTTAATCTCTAAGCGGTGCACCTTGGATTCCTGCCATCTAAGAATACATTAGATCCTGCCTCTGATTTGCTATTTGGTGCAATCTCAGTGGAACCAATTGTGCCCTCTTCTGTTTGCACGTTTAAGGTGGAATTTCTCAAATCTTATTGAATAAAAATCACTAGAGTTAAAGAATAAATCCTTTAAGGTTGTAAGTGGTTTGTATTTTTATTATGTATTCTGTATGTGTAATTATTTCAGCCTAAGATTTGTTATTTGTGGAAGTTATTTGTCATTATAGTGGTTCCATCTAGATTACATAACTATGAATAATGTTTTAACCTGTGAATATAAGGATAAAATACTTCAAGTATCTACCAGTTCAAAGGTTAAAATATTGTTATAAGGATTACAACATGGTAGACCATACTAAAGCAGTAAGTCGTGGTCCATATCCCATCACTTCACATAACATAAGCACTGAGCAGTTCTCTTCACCATTTGTATTATTCTGGCATTTTGATTCATTGAATCCACTGCACAGCCACACAAAAAGGTAACAGGGTACTGTCATTTATCACTAGTTAAGATCACACATTCTCCACATTTCTCCTCCATTATACCTAAAACTGAAAGGACCTAAAATAACCATTCAGCTTGCTCTCATAAGTTACTGAATCTCATTCTCACTATCACCATCATATCATGTCTCTTTGAAGACACATTTTCTTGACCCATTAATTTTTTTTTTTTTGGATACTCAAAGAGCTCATTTGTGCTATATTTAAAATAGTGAACAGAAAACTTTACTGATAATTTAAAACTATTTTTACATGGTTGCTATTTAATTTTTCAGTAAAAATGGTCATTTTAATTTAAAGTCATTTGTCATTTTATATTAAAATGATACTGTAGGTATTTCTTCTACCCAATGTCAGATTACTTGTAAATATATAATAAAAGTATTTGCATTAAACAATGTCGCCTTTTTATTTTAATAGCACATATATACCTATATATCATTCTACTACCTTTTAGCTTTCCCCTTCACAGAAAGTTACAATCACAAATAATGGTTTTTGCACTACCAGCCTATTACTTTGTCTCATTGGGACCCCAAAATACAATAATTATGTTTAATATTTTAGCATTATAATTTGATATTATATCTTATTTCTTTTAATTCTTTCCTCTTTACTTTCCTATCTTCAGACTCTCTTCATTTCTATGTTTCTTTCAAGCCCTAATTCCTTCTTCTATCTTATAATGGTTCGCCACTTTATTTGTATTCTCCAGTAATTTTTGTCTGGTCAATTTTTTCTGTACCTCTGTTTCTTTGGTAGCTTCTTGCCTCTTGCTATAGTGTCTCCACTAGATATTTTTGTCTTTTAATTAATTTACTCTGGCCAGAAGAGTAAGGTGAAGTGAGGAGTCAAATGGACATCTCTCTATTCAGGGAATGTTGCCCTCCATAAGTCATTTGCCTCACATTCTGGGAGCCCAAATAAACACATCCTGAGCACATTCCTTACTAGGACCTGGGCCAGCAAAGATTAACTAACTCCAGTGAAGCTCATTTCTTGGAGCGTCCAGCAGCTCTAACTTTGTTTTCTTGTGTATTGTGTTTTGACCACATTTTTCCTATTTGGTAAGAATATATTTATTGAATAACATGGTAACTAACAAAAAAAAAAGTGAGTAGTCAGTTACTTCTTTAGTCAAAAATATAAAATAAAAGAAAAATTTGTATCCTCTGTGAATTTTGTTTGCCCTTCATATATATACACTTATATATATATATATTCATCATTATTAAAAACTATGGCAAAGAAATGGGGATACCAGCTAAAGCCAAAATAAGCTTTTAAAACACTTTGATAATGATTTTTTTACACATGGTCTTTACCCATATCTAAATATTAATTTCATGAATCATGCATAGTATTATAATAAAATATTATAAACAATGTTATTGCCAGAATAGAAACTGAGATCTTGAATAATGCATTCATACCTATAATAAATGCTTATAAAAATGTTGAAATCATTGATATAAAACAAAATATCAAATTGTCATATTCCTAAATGAGAAAAATATGTGTAATAATTTGTGCCATCAAATTTGGTCTCATAGTGGGTTTAGAAAAAGAAGGGTAAATGATTAGTGTCTTACAACCACTCACTTAGGTAAAAATTTACTCATAAAGGTTTATTTTTATTTGAATTTTTTTCAACATGCAAATATGACTTAATGTGGGAAGGAATTAAAAAAACTTGGAGATCTTAAAGTCAAAACATGTTCACCAGAAGAGGCTTTCAACCCTAGACATTGCTGTTGCAGTTCTCTGTGCCTAAACCTTGCTATTCTGTGTAAAGAACTCATTGTTATGGCAATAATGAACAATCTGTACTGTGGTATGTAAATGCACTGAGGTATTGTTGATGAGGACTTGTGAGCTTCAGGTGAGTTGCAAATTGAATTCAGATATTTTAATTGTGGATAATATTACAGTTTTTTCCTGTTGTTTTTTAAAAATATATTTTTTATTAATTTCAGAGAGGAAGGGAGAGAGAATCATTGATCAGCTACCTCCTGCACACCACCTACTGGAGATTGAGCCTAGAATTGCTTTTTAAAGTTCTTGTCAGACTTGTATTATAACACTGATTATTCAGAAAATGAGTGCAACCTAATGAATTTACATATTATACCAATTGTGTGTAAATTACTAACATGAAAGTTTTCCAAATGGTGAGCCAAAATTTGTGCACACTAATTCAAATAAAGTTCTTAACTTTTCAATACAGCCATTATGCTAATTTTATACAATTCAAGTACACATATGAATACTGACTATCCTATTTGTTCTATATAATTAAGATAAAACTTTTAGTCTAACCCTCAAAATGTGTCATCCATTGAAGATCATGACCAAGCCAACAAATTCCAAACATACAACTGAATGACAAATAACAAACATTGAAATTTAGAGAGTACTCATTAAGCTCTCTTCTCCCTTCTCCTATCCAGCCAATGTAGGTGGGGCTAAATACTAGGGAAATGGCTAAAAGGTGTGTAAAGTAGAAGGGAGAAGAATGACTCATTCACGATGGGTAAATTAAATCCTGAATAATCAAAAGTTGCTCCAACATTAACTAGACTCCTCTCATTATTCTCTATTTTGCCATTTTAGTATCAGAATATTGGGATTTTTCTTTGTTTAATATTATGGAATAATATTTGAAAAAATTAAATGGTAACTATTTATATGTGCAGCTTTTCTAAAACTAATCATGCTTTTCTGACAAACCCCAAAAGTATTTTTAATGTAATAATGCTATTCCCATCATGTTTAAATTTATAAGCCTATGCTGAAATTACAGTTTTCATCATTAGAAGGGTCTTTGGGTGTTACTTAAGATTCCACCTGGTCATGATAAAATAGGGTAATTTTTGTAACGATGACACACTTAAATATTTGTCCAGCTATAAAATTTTCTATATATAAATGAAATGAGTAAAATATTACATATGCATGGTTTCTAAATCATTTTTAAAATTACTAGAAATAGAGCATCACCTTTGTCAATAAATGTAAAATACTATAATTTTTATCAAATGTATCTCACATTGTCACTGCTAAATTGATAATTTAATATATACTTTGAAGAGTAAAATGTATATTGTTAGAAATTGCAAAAGTATAAGACAATACTACTTAAAAGAAAATAATGCATTTAACAATATAGAAATAAAGTTATTTAACCTCTCCTGGAAATATTTTTCTAATACCATTTGAATTCCCATTTGCAATATCATAACAAAGAGATCACAAATATCATTCAAAGTACTGCCTCAGAATGTTTCATGTGTTATTTTCAGAGAATGAAGATATAATTTACCCATAATATAAAAATAAGTGAAAACAGTGGAAATAAGAATAAGTCAAACCAGCAATTTGATATTAGTTAGACAAAATAACCATGAGTTGTAATATGGAAAACACACACATATACAAAGCTACATACACACATTTACATACTGCAAATTAAGGTTTTGGTATTTTATATGTAAAGTTTATGCCTTTTCAGTGGGAAAACCTATAAATTCCCTTTCTTTTAGTTTTTTCAGAACAAACTATAATGATTATTTTCCAAACTATAAAAAATAATTGGATTAGCCATATTAATTATGCAATTTAAGTATACATATATTACATTGGTCCTTTCAACCTGGGGTATATAAAGCATATAATAAAACATGTTTGATTATAAAACTATATTTCAAATACTAGTTATTTAAGCTGCACTGTAAAGATTTATTGTTTTATGTAAAGAAATATTAGTTTCTTTTTTCCTAATAAGATTGCACCCCCCAAAGAACTGTTCAGCCTAATGTTAACTGGGCAAGGCTGAGAACTCTGGCTTACTTTGAAAGAAATAAGAATAAACTAAAACCTCCTTCATTTCTATGTTAGTCTGAAGCAATTGTGTATTCTGTTTCATAGCGAACAATAGTGATTTTGTAACAAAGCAAATTTTTACTGGTGTTTTAAGTTTTACTGATAATTGTTTTCCATGCCTACCATTATTACTATTATTTTAATATTGTATTCTATTGTCTTGATATTCATTGATAATCTCTCAGTTTAATGTTTAATAGTTACATCCTAAGAATTATGTTTCTGCGTCAGAATGCACTATTTCTTCTTTAACTGCTTGCCATTTGTTAAAGCTCTCATAAGAAATCAAAGCATAAAGAGGGAAAAAAAACAATATATTATTTAAATAAACAAATATTCCCAACATTAATGCATATGGAGCTTACATGCCCATTTATTTAAATTCCATCATCTGATAATTAAGATGTCTTTGAGTTTCCAAAATTAATCAATATTTTATATATAATGACTCTGTCATTATTTCCATTTTCATAAACTTTTCAATCTGAAATTAATACATTTACTAAATGCAAAAATATTCTACTTTTAGCATAATGTTCTATAAAGAAATTACCTAAGAAATTTAACATGTCAACTTCTTTTAAAAATGTTGAATTGTTCATGGTCATTTTCTTATAATTAGCATTATCACTCGCCAAACATACACAAATCATTATATTTGCCAAATACGTACCTTAAGGGGATAGAATTCCTAAATATCCCAAGAATTAACATTTTAAAAACATGGGCACTGGCCTTGAGCTCCACAATATGTTGTTAGTTTTGAAATCTAAACATTTGTCACTTTCTTTTGGATACTAAGCTTATTGAGAAGAAACAGAATGAAAGTTCCTTGGTTGAAAAGACTTTCTGATAGTGTGTAATTTTCAGAATGCTCTAAGTGCCAGTAGACCTAGACATTATTTGGCAAAGAAATAAAGTTCTGGCATTTGTGTTCCACATTAAAAATATATATATTTGGAAGTTTTATAAAAGCAATGTAGTGGTTACTATCTTCTGAAGATATCTGTTGTATAAAATGATTGTACTGAGTCATTGGAAGAGTTTAGACTTCAATTGCTTAGCTGTAATTTTTAAAAACATATATTTTATGCTAACTTCTCTTAGCAAAAAAAAATGGGAGTGTTCATATTATATAATAGATCCATATTTTCAAAACTGTTCAATGAAATTGTAACTTTAATATGCATATTCATTGGTAACATGTGCAGATTTGTTTTTTTAACCACGCTGCGCCAACATAATGATGTCTAAAAGGGGGCAAATAAATATAGTATCACTCCTCCTTGTCAATAGTTCCTAGATGATAAAAAAAAAAAATATATCTGAGGTACATTTTTGGAGCCTGCCTTTGAAAATTGGACCCTGTATGGCTAAATCAAATTAGTTTCTGTAAAATGCTTGCCTCTTTGCCCGCGTGAAATATTGAGGTGTGCTACAAACTGAATCAATACATACATCCAATGTGTGCTTTCTTCATGCAGGGATTTGAGACGGCTTGGAGTGACTCTTGTCGGTCACCAGAAGAAGATCATGAGCAGCCTTCAAGAAATGAAGGTGCAGCTGGCCAACGGGATGGCGCCATTGTAACTTCACGCTAATGTCATTTCACTGAATGAATGTTTCTGCACTTTGTAAACAAGCCCTGAGATTTATTTTAGCAAAGGGAGGGAAGAGAAAAACTCGGTGATTTCTAAACCTTCTGGGAACATTTCTTTCAGCCACAGAATTTGTAATCAGTGTTTTAGCTTCTTCTCAGTGTCTTCATTTTTCAAGAAACGAATATGACCTCCTTGGAATAACAACACATGGTTAAACATGATCTTATCTCACAGCAAAAAAAAAAAAAAAAAAATCCTTCCCACTACTCCTATAAAATTTTGTACATGAAATATATAACTGTAAACTGCACCTTGATAGACTGAATGAAGGCAGCACCTTTCAACACTTCCAAGAATCTACTTGAAGGGAAAAGTTTTATAGTCATTTGTGGGCTAACAAAAGCTGCAATTTACTGAAGTTTACTTCGAGTCTTAATTGTCTACATAAGTGTACTGAAGAGCAATATGGTTAGGTAGTTTCTTAATAGGTAACTTCTTTTGTGATGTTCAAGTGCTGTTACACAGCGTTAAGTTATAGAAACTAGTGTATAAACATGTCCTTGGTCAAGGACAAGTTCAATACAGGGTGTATATTTATTTTTCTGTGTTATAGAATTTACATTTAGTCGCTCTCTTAGAAACTATACGGTAATAAACGTGTATATACTGTATCATTTGCTGTATACCCAGGAATCAATTTAAGTTGGAGTTTTGTGTATATGTGCTTGCACCTGTGTGCATTGCCATTCTGCTTGCATTTTTAATAGTTTTAATTTTAGCAGCGTGCAGGAATAAGGGTTCCAGAGTGGAATATGAACAGGAGAAATAGGGAAGCAGTAAAACAAAATTTAACACAAGCTTGTGTCCTTTTGCCTCTCATGTTTCCAAAAGCTACTGAGTCTCCTTAGTCACTAACAGGAAATGTCTGTTAAATCCCCTTTGGCTTTTTAAAAACACTTTGTGATATCTGTGACAATACAGTTCTTCCAGCCATTAATCTTGCACTCCTGTAAGAAATTTCACCTTTTTTGAGTCCCAGAAAATACCTTGTCAAGCAACGCTGACACCGAAGGGCACATTTTCAGAAGGATGGAGAGGGATTTAACTGTGCAGACTTTGGTTAATGTTGTTAAATCCAGGCACGTAGCACTGAGCATTACCCCTAAGTGCTAATCCTTTGTAGCCATTTCCCTTGTAGCTCAGCTCTAGAAATTGTGATATAAGGCAGCAATGAAATGATGACAAATATATATATACTTCCTTCATCATTTTCTCTATTTTGAGACATGACAGGTTTTATTTGTGGATGGTTGTCTATTCATTTGGAAATTTCACCTTCTATTCAGTTATATCAAATTGAATTTATTTTGATGAACCAATTTAAAGTTTTATTTAATTGGCTTTATGAAGAAATATAAGATAGATCCCATGTATACTCTATATACCATACTTGAGGAAGACTGATACTGAGATCTGTGGTACCAATTGTGAAGTTTATTGGAATACTAGAGGCCTGATGCATGGAATTCATGCAAGAGTAGGCCTTCCTTCCCCCCGCTGCCAGCACCAGCTTCCCTCTGGCACCCAGACCCAGGCTTATCTCGCAGCCCTGGCTTCATCTGGAAGGTCATCCCAAAGGATGTCTAGTTTAATTAGCATATTATGCTTTTATTATTGTATGTGAACAAAACTGAGATTCCTAATAAATAACCAGATTTTTGTACTACTACCCTTTATAGAAATCATAGGATGACATGTGATTCCAGGAGCATAGCATTTAAACCAAATAGATCCTACTTATGATTATCAAACTGTAAAAGGAATAGGCTGGATTAGTGAAATCATAGGACATATACCTGCATTATACTCATGGTACCTCGTTTCCCTTTCCCAAGCACCTATTTTAGTTGAATGTTAGCACATAAAATAGTAAACTTTTGAGAAATACCCTCTTTCTATCATGTCCATCTTTTACTTAAGTAGTAATGTAACATTTTGCTAAAGAACAACGTCAAAAATAAGGGGGAAAAGTTCTAAACAATTTTCAAAGGATATATTGATTTCTTTCTAATTATGACTATGATTGCTTATTAAGTCTAGAGTATACTATGGCTCCAAACAATTTATGCTTCAAATATACTCTGGTTCAGTGAAATTTTGCAAGTAAGTAGGCATCACCATTCCTAAAGATGCATTTGTTCATTTCAATAAACATAAAATTAGCTAAATTAATTCCTTTTGTACAAAATAATTGGAAATTGTTATTAAATTGTATTGTTTTGTAAAACAACAACCAAGTCTAAGTGATAAAGTAACAACTGAACAAATTCAAAGAAGAGAATTGTTGATTTTTTTTAAATATATATTTTATTGATTTTTAGAGAAAGGAAGGGACAGGGAGAGAGAGCTAGAAAAAAAAAAATCAATGTGAGAACTAAACATTGATGGGCTGCTTCTTGCATGCCTTCTACCCTGGATCCAGCCACAACCCAGCCTGTGCCTTGACTGGGAATCAAACTGGCAACCTTTCTATTCACTGGACAACTCCAAATCAACTGAGCCAAGACTAAAGTTGTTGATTTAAGAGAGAAACAACCATAAATTTTTAGAGCTGATCAACTAGCCACAATGAATTACACATAAAAAAAAGATAGTCGCTAATTTTTTTTCCAGCTTTATATGTTCAAAGATTATTAGAAGGTCAGGATGGAATACATCTAAGTGATTAGAGTTTGAAGCAATAATGTAGATTTCCTCTTTTCCACAAAAGAACATTATGCATTAATTTGGATCAAATTGATTTATTTCCTTTGCAATCTCAGTGTTCATTTGGAAAGTAAATTGAGATAAATGTTAAATAGACACATAACTTTCATCCATATTTAATTTTGGTTGAGAATTTCTAAGGAATGTCAATATGATTTTAGAAGGAATAAAGACTTTCAGATAGGATGCACTTCCCCTAAGAGAAGAAATACTTGTTCACCTCTGGATATATCACCAACTGGGAAGTGCCAATCTCATCTATAAATGTGAGAAGTGGAACAGGAGAAAGAAGCAGCTTTTGTTAAAAGCAAAGAGGCAGTAACCCAGGGCAAGGTTTGACAGATCTTGATTGTGTGATTTCTTATCATTTTGGTTCAATTTGTCACCCACCAGACAACTGAAAACAAAACATATTCAATAATTTTACCACAAAAGATAGATTTGTCAAATGATACATAATGTTTTTATAACTACCAGTAGCAATATCTTTAGGGCATGAGTCTTTGTCAGTGTTACTTTGAAAATTAACTATAAGCAGGGAGTAATATTCAGCTTACTGATATCTGTTGAAATCACTTAATCACTACTTTCCTCATCTTGCCATTTGCTCACATGTAAAAATGCCATATAGTCTGTTGTTGATGGCCACTGGAATGTATGGATTATATGTAAAAATGTAAAGATTTTCATTTTCTCATTTAAAAAAATTAATGTGCATGGTCAATGATTTCTCATATTTTAATCAAGTCAGTGTTCTGTAAAAATTATATTCCAATATTCTATATAAGCTTAACTGTGGCCAGCATAATCAGTCTCAGAGTTGCCAAAAGTTAAGAACATCCTTAAGTCCGTTTGTAAAAGAGTTTTAACCATGTGCAATGGTGAAGAGATAGCTTCATATGTCAAATTAAAAGAACATTACTATCACTTGAACACTTATGTGTTTGCATGTCTGCTATGTAATCTCAATGTGAAAGGTAAAGGATCGTTAACACCCTTCTTTCTGCCATTTAAAGTGGGTTCTCAGAAGCACAAGCAGAGATACTTACCTGTGGAAGATGTTTTTGGCTGTAACTGTGGATTGGACAGCAAATGCTGTTTGCGTCAGATATTAGAAATTTACTAGATGTACAATGTTGCATAATAGAGTGAGATAATTTCACATTTTTTTCTTTCCAAAAATAAAGGGGGGGAAAGAAAGCTAAGTATGATAGTAAACTGTCTTTGTTATGTCCTGCCAGATGTTTAATCTCAAAGTAAAGTAAAAGTAGGTACAATAAGATGTTGATGATAATGAATTGTCAAAACTCTACTTTTATTTGAAATTAATAATTGAAATGTCATCATTTTTTCAACTATATAATACAACTAGTTACATTAAATGTTTTTCTCTATCATGCTGTTAATTATATAGTAATGTATCAAAGGATAAGTAGAGAAATATTTCTTTTCATTTCTTGCTGATTTCTGAAAGTCTCTTGACACATACATGATTAAATATCTTTGTCCAGAATGACCACATAATTATTGCTTAGGAGAAAACACCAATTCTTTTTTTTTAAAGAGTCTATTTATAATAATCAAAAGCAAATGTCATGTCTCTTTGAAATGAAAGTGGCAAAAATATGTTTTTAAGGCTGAGCTATATTAACAGCAGAAATTTCAATGGTCAACAGACTTGTGAATGTTTAGACTGCAATGGTTTGACAACTAATTATTTAAGATTATATAAATTTCATTTATTTTAGTCTGAAAATAAAACTTAGACTTACTCATTTGTTAATATGTTTATTAAGATCTCTTAGTTTCAGGCCAAGTATATCTTATTTTATACCAGGCATTCGGATATCTCCAGTCCCTGCCTCAGCATTAATTCAAGGATGGATTAGCACTTATGTATTTTCCCTCATCTGAAGCTCTCTGTGCATTTGGTTTGTGTACATGTTTTTGTAGTGTAATATATGAAATTTTATATTTTTTCAAAAAATAAAAACCCTTTAAACAGAGTTAAATCGGACTGTCATGCTTGACCCTTTTCCAGAAGAATTTAAATTACAGCCTCTGTATAATGATTTCAGTTCGTGCTAATGAAAATGTTGGAATGTCTTATGCTCAATATTTTAAATTCAATCAGCATCCAATTTTCTCAAAGACCTATTTGTGAATCTTTGTATTCGAATGTTTTTTTTGTAACTAGAGTTTGACACTGAGATTGTAGGACAG